GGGATCTCACCTAGTGTGCAGGGAGAGGAGGGAGGAGGGAGGACAACTGGGGGATCTCACCTAGTGTGCACTATGTGGGGTTGTTCAGTACAACCCCGGTGAGGGGCTTACCTACCACCTGAACTTTACCTCAGAATTGAAAACAATGTCATCTAAACATTTGTATCTTTATATTAATGTGAAATAAAAGAAAAGAGAGCATGGGATACTCCATTTTTGATTTTAGTACACTATGATTTTTAGGAAGAACTCAACTGAGGGATATGAAAATCCAACTCAGAAATTATTATTCTAATTTTTTAAAAATAGGATCACTCACAAGGCTCACTTAATAGGATTATGCTATGATGACGCCCCCCCTTTAAATGATACCTGAAAAAAGTTAGATAGTAGCAAGTGACAGCTACACTTATCAGTCCTGGCTCTGTGAACCTCCCTCAATGCAGTGAGGAGGGTCCTCCGGCCCCTCAGCTGGAGGATGGATAATGTGTTGGTCTGTTTGCTGCCAGCCCTGAAGAGCAGGCGCTGCCCTGGTGTCCCGTCTGGACTGCTGCTGTGGGGAAGACACCAGGCACCGGACTGGCAGCAACTGAAGGAATGTACAGTGGGGGAGGCCTGAGAGCAAGGCTGGAAGGGGGGGTGCCTCCTGAGTCAGGTCTAATGACAGAAATGACACAGAATGTGACACCGCACAGTAAGAGGGACGGGACAGTGAGCAGGCCACAGTGTCTTCTCTGAGCCCGCCCTGGGGCTCCCCAGGGGAGAAGACCGAGGCCCTGTGGACAGGGACTGGGGGCATTCTGGCTTTGTCTTTCCTTTTCCTGGAACCCCCTGCCCAGGTCACTGCCGCTCCCATCATCCTGGCAGAGTGGGCCCAGAGCCAGTTGGAGAGACATCAGGTGGTACCGGGGGGGGGGGGTGTCCCAGTGACGAGCACGGCCTTCCTGCCTCTGTCCCACACACCCCAGGAGCCTGGCACTTACAATGAAGGAAGCAGCCCCAGAAATAGGCCATTTCTAGAAGAGAGGTGCTGGGAGAGTCCCTCAGGGAAAAAGCCGACTGAGTGGAGGGGACAGGCAGGGAACATTTAGGACCCAAATTAAGATGACCAAGGCTCTCCAGCTTGAGGACACCAACCAGAGCCCATGCTCCTGTGCCTGTCGCCCTCTGGGTGCCGCAGGGAGGACAGCTGATGACAGGGAAATGGAGGAAACTGCCCAGGAGGGCAAGAGTCAACAACGCCCTGAGGCTGGGGCAGCTAGATTAACAGGGCAGGAGGAGGAGATTCGAAAAGGAGCCTGTGCAGCAAAGAGAAAGCCGAGCACCAGGATAGGAAGTAACAAGGGCGGGCGACAAAGAAGGGACTTGGAGAAAAAAAGAAGCAAACGGACCAGCAGCACCTTCCTGTGAGAGTGAACCGGGGTCACAGGTGTCAGTCAGGGCAGCTCTCTGCACCCAAGCAGGAGCTGCAAGAACGCAACAGATGGAGGGGCACAGCATTCAAGGAGAATAATTTTCACCTAGAAATTTCATTCTGCCAAACAAAAATTTAAGTAGACTATGTAAATCTTTGTAGGCACTCAAGGCCTTGGGAGATTCACTATGAAGAAGAGTCTTTTTGGAAGTCGTCCTTGAAGAGGTTATTCTGTCAGCAGGGAGAAACGAACACATGGAAACGAAGACGTTAGCTGCTGCCTAAATCAGCCAAAGGTAACACAAATAATCTAAAGACGATGAGGCCAAGGAGAGGAAGGGGGGAGACTATGAAAGCACACGAAGACATGCATTTTTCAGGATAAAATGCAGTTGTTGGTAAGTTTTTAGAAATAACAGGAAGAAAACCAAAATACTAGTTCTAATAGAATAGAAGGAATTGCAACCTGAGTAAAAGGAGAATGTATAACTTTCAAACCAGTAGAAAAATTTTATTAGCCAATTACAAGGAAGATAAGAAAAAAGATGGATTAAGTTCACTACTCAAGAGCTAGAGAGTCTTTGTTTGAGTAATAAAATAAAACCTGATGATAAATTGCCTAAAAGAATCACATTTACTATGAAAGCATAAAAAAGGGTGAAAATAACAGTACGAGAAAGTGATATTCTGGGTATAAGTAAACCAACAGAAAATCCAGGTAGTGGTTTAGTATTAAAAACAAATTTCAAGATAAAAAAACATGATATCAGATGGTTTGACAAAGAGGCATCTTATATATTGGTAAAAAAAGAATCCTAGAATAAGATAACCTAAGAATTATGAATATGCATACACCTAACAACATAGGTTCAAAACAAACACAGCAGAGAGGATAAAACTAAGAGGAGAAACAGATAATAGTGTTTAAAATTTCTAACTCAACTGTAGCTTTTCCAGAAAGCAGAATGAACAGACAAAAATATTCCAAGATGCATTGGAAACTAATACAACCTTTATGGAAAGAAGTGTGGAGAATTTGCAAAGAACTAACAGTCAACCTTCCATTTGATCTTGTAATTCCATTATTTGGTATCTACCCAGAAGAACAAAATCATTTTACAGCAAAGACATTTGCATCATGTTTATTGCAGCTCACAGAAGCAACCCAAATGTCCATCAGCCCATGAATGGATTAACAAACTGTGGCATATGTATACACCATGGAGTAGTATTCAGGCACAAGAAAAATGGAGCTAAAACTCATTCTTCCTAGTAAAGTATCTCAAGAATGGAAAAGAAAATCCAATGTTCTCAATACTAACATAAACAATTACACGCCCACAGGCATGAAACACAAATAAAGTCTAGCAAGGGGGAGGAGAGAGGAAGGAGAGGGCACGGGGGCGTGGGGAGGGTGCATGGCAGGGGGAGGCAAGTGGTGGGATCTCACCTACTATGCACAATGTGAGGGTGTTCAGTAGCCCCCCTGGGTGAAGGGCTCAACTACAACTTTAACTTTACTTTGGAAGTGAGAATGTAACCTACAAATTTGAAATTAATTAACCTACAAATTAATTTGTAACCTACAAATTAATTTGAAATTAAAAAAAGAATAACCCAAGATGCAGATTCAAATTCAGCTTGAATGACAGACTGAGCTAATAGAAACTTTTATTCATCACAGTTCAGGAGAGAACACAACAGGACAAGAAACTGAATAACTGTGTCAATAGGAAGAAGCATCTTAAATTACTTCAGATGATAGGATTGTATATTTGGAAAACCCAAGTGATTGTCTTAGAACAAACTATTAGAACTAATAAGAGAATTTATGTAGTTGACAGGATAAAAGATAAATAAATAAATAATGAATTTATTTTTCTCTATGCCTAAAGTGTTAATAGAATCTGGGTACACGGAGAGCCATGTGCAATATTCTTGAATGGAAGAGCAATATTACAAATTTCAATTATTCTTAAAATGAAATTTAAAAATCCAATATAATTCCAACCAAACTTATAATTTTAAGGTTTATATGGCAGAGTAAGTACTCAAAAATGGTTTAAAAAAATTGTAAAAGCACAGCAGTAGAGGGGTTTGCCTTAGCAGAGAGTCATACTATACGAAACTTCTAGAATTGGGTATAACAGGTGGGTAGCCAAATGAGTGGGCAGAATAGAGCCCAGATCCAGGTACGTTCAGGAATGTAATAGATGGTAAAGTTGGCTGAACAGATTTGGAGATAATGTTACTTGGGAAATAAGTGAAGGGACTATAGCTTTTTGTTCTGGAAAAACCAGGACTCCAGGAGGAATCCTGGTTTTTAATCATGTGAAGGGCTGCTGGCTCCTAGGGCATGAACTCACTCCTCTGCTGTTCTGAGGCAGAGGTAGGAGCCAGGAAGGGAAACTGCCAATGACATCCCCTCAGGTGTACAGAGTGAAGCAGCTGGAAGGTGATGACCCCGCCACTCTTCATACCACCCCACCTGCCCACCAGCCATGGCTCACCAGCCTGGGGCAGCCCCCTTGCCCAGGGTCCAGCCCCCCACAGTACCTTGGGCAATATCATCCTGCCTCTGCAAGCAGGGCCGCTCCACCTTGTGCCCAGGCTGGGGCGGCTCTCGCTCCGGCTGCTTGGGACACCTCCCCTCATTGAACACATGCGGCAGGTTGGCTGTGTGCACCTGTCGGAGCTGCTCATAGTCGCTCAGAGCGGCCGTCAGGTCCCAGTTTTTGCCTACAGACAAGAAAAGGCAAGAGATTATAGCGTGAGTGCATGAAGGATGGTCTTATTGTGAGAAGAAGGGTTTCCCGTTACCACATGAAAAAACGAACTTCCTCTTGTGTTTGAAAGGGTTAAAAGGCCTTCTGTGTGATCTCGGAAAGTAGAATTTCACATCCATATCTGAAGTCCATCTGATCACACACACTTCTCAACATTGCATCCCTAATTATCAATATCATAGCTCCCTTTGAAAATCAAGTTGTAGAGTTTACCGTCTGAGCGGAGCAAAGCATAAAATAAAAAAAAAAAAAGGATAAAAAGAATTCCTCAAGTTTCTTTGGATCTTTGCTCAGAGTTTCACTTTTTAAAGAAGTTTACTTAACATGGAGAATGCAGAAGCATGGAAGGGCTTCTTTGTTGGAGGCCTGTGTAGGAGGCAAACTGTGGCAGGCAGGCCCTGTGCTGGGGTGCAAGCTAGACTGGTGTGCCCAGCGTGGGTGAACATTCAGCAGGACACCCCCCCCAGAGCTAGAGCTGACATTTCACACTGGGGGGCTAATTGGGACAGCTGGACCACAGCACAGGGGCTCTGGCTCCTGCCTCTGAGAGTCAGGGGATGTCTAACAGTAGAAGGAGCCAGCACACACTGCATCTCATTCAACTAGGCATCACGTGTCTTTTGCAAACCCAGAATTAAAAGCTCAGCCTCAACTGTAAGGAGCAAATGAAGTCTTATCCTCTCTCGGTTAGCGCTGCGTTGCAGGTATTACTGTCCTGACTACACTGTGAAGCTGCTGTGTGCACAGCAGGATGAGGCTTTGAACATATCAAACAGTATCTGCATATCTTCCTTTTTTCTTTCTGCTCTTTCCCATTGCAGACTGGATATTATCAATCATGACATTTAAATCACATCACACAGTTGCTTTACTATTCAATCATGTTTTCTCCTCCACAGTCAGCAAACAAAGACAATAATAGAAACATCTTTGTATCATCTCGGTAGGTAAGAACGGCAAACTAAAACCATCTGGGTCATCCACCCAACACAAAACCACCAGCTACAGTGGTTTTGTAAGTGATATTAGGAGGGGGCACGGCTGTAACGGAGCTTCTGCCACCATTAGAAACACTAGCGGAGGGGTGGGTGGTGGCAGTGACTTGGTTTAGGTAAACAGAACTAAATGAGAAATCAGAGCATCACTCTCTCTCTTATAACAGTAACAGTCAGTGTGCAAAACTGCATGTGCAAATACTACCTTTATCGTACTGGGCCTGCCATTTTTGGGTCTAAGTGGCAGTAACTATCAAGCAGGCATTCGTGTCCTAGGCTCAGGAGAAGGATGGGCCCTGTCTGTAGGGAACTCACAGCTCAGCAGGTGCAGTGGCCTCATGTGCACCTCGCTCTAATGCAGGGCTAGGGGTCCCGGGAAGGGAGGCAGAGGAGGAGCACTACAGACCCCGCTCCTGTCATGAAGCATTGCTGTTTTTCAGACAGTGCTGGACCCCTGACCTCTGGCCGTGCAGAGGGGCAGGGCAAGAGAGGAGCAGCCTGAGTACAGCAACCGAGGGTCTCAAATAGAGCCGGGGAGGTGGTGTCCTCAGCCACAGGAGGAGCAGGCATCATCCTGGCATGTCACAGATGGAACACGAGGCTTGGCGTGGTTCCAGCAGTGGCCTGCCATCACTCGCTGGATACACCCCCAGGTCTCTTCACGGTGCAGCTGCCCCACTGCAGGGCTGCCAGGCATGAGACTCTGCTCCTGGGATCCACCCTACTCCACCCCACTGTGCTTCTCCCAGCCACGGACAGCCTTCCTGCTGCCTCTGCCCAGTCCCTGCAGCAGACCCCTCCCAGGGCCCCATCCATGGTTCCCACCATGAGCCCTTTCTGGCCATGTTGAAGGCAAGAGCAGTTATCACAGGGGAGCCAGGGGAGGGCCTGGTGTGGCAGCCCGCATGGCAGAATGAGCCATGTTCCCACCACAGGCAGCTGTCAGAGGTTCAACTATGACCCAAAGAAGACCATTTATGAAGGCCCGTCCAGCTTTTCTCCCAGTGACCCTCACTCTGCTGACCTGCTGGGCCCCTCTGGATGCCCCATCACTGCCTTGGGTACACACTCCATTTGCTACACACCTGCCCTGTGTCTCTAGCCAGTGAGCATCCTGGTCTGTCTGCTTCCCCTACCCTGCCCCCTAGGTAGTGACAAGGATTCGGTAAGTGTGAGGTGGGAATGGGACGGAGGTGAGTGAGGGCTGTCCATAGTCAGCCCCCAGTGGTTCCCTTCCCAGGTTCTAAAGATGGTCCAAGGGACTCCGGATACTAGTGTCTGTGTATGTGGAAAGGGCCCGAGCAGCCACTGGAGTGAGAAGAGACAGGACTGGCCATAGGCACACTCATCAGCTCATCCCTACCCCGGGGACTCCACAGATGGCAGCTCAGGAGAACCGGGATTGCAAGTGGACGGTCACAAAGGAAGGGGCTGGAGGTGCTGGGAGATATGTGGCACTGGTGAGTGTGGCAGAGGCTGTATCAAACCCAGGAAACTTGGAGGATAGTAAGGGGTGGGGCGGTGGTGCATGGTGGCCTGGATGCTGGCTCCGTGCTTGGGGACCAGGGGCCTCAAGCTGCCTCTGTCTTTCTCATTGTAAGTTCCTGGAGCCCTGACAGACGTTGCTTCAGGGCAGGGTGAGAAGGAAAGGCAGGGAGGCCCAGCAGTGGCATGGGCTGAGGCCCCGCAGCGGTGGCATGGGCTGAGGCCCCACAGCGGTGGCATGGGCTGAGGCCCCACAGCGGTGGCGTACCTAGGCTGGGAGATATGGGGTCCCTGGGGTGAGGATGCTGTTTTGGGGGAAGAAATGCAGCCTGGCAGAGCAGTCAGGAACACCAGTTTCAGAGCCTGGTTTCCAGCCCTGGCTCCTCCTAACTAATTCTCCAAGACTGACTGTCTCGCCCTACCATGCTAAGCCCTAGATTCCCTTTCTGTGCCAGTGGGATAATAAAATCCACATAATGAGAATTCTTATGAGGGTTAAATTAGGCAGTGAGACAGGTCTGTAAAGTTCCTAGTGTGTGAAAGCACGTGGCAGTTATCACTGTTCTCAGTAATGACAGGGGTTTGCTTATGCCTAATTTGTATCACTCAAGGTTGAAATCTAGCCAGTAAGTGGAGCTGAGATTCAAATCCAGATATGCTTTGAATCAAACCTGAGCTGGGAATACTGTGAATACTCTAAAGCTGACCTAGCTTTGGGTGCCCTGGCTTTTGGTTGCTGACAGCAGCCCCCTGCTGCCCACAGCCCTGCACAACCCGGCTTGCCCCTTTTCCTCTTCTTCACCAGGTCCTTCAGTGTCCTCCCAGCCCTCCAGCGCTCTCAGCTGCTGAGCTCTCAGTGTCCTCCATGGACTTACCTTTACTATGTGGCATTCTCATTCAAGTGCCACTAATGGCATCTCCCAGACACAGGCGCCCATCAGGCCCACAGAGGGCACGAGCCACCCTGTCTCTAACGCGGGCCGAGCCACCCTG